AAGATCTATCACTATAATGCTGTCAAGTAACATATTTTTTAGATGATACAGAGGAAATCTTTTTAAGCCTTATACACAGATGCTAATTCCTCAGAACTGAAATTTTTTATCAAAAAATTACTTTCAAGCCCTCTTCATTTGAATCATAATCCAAGGTACTGTTACCACCACGAATATGAAGCGATCTAGCTTCCGATTGCTCCAGTGAGCACTGCGAACTAACATCACTAAGTGCCTGTTTAGTTTTTCTTTTCTTCCTCTTCTTCCCCTCGTTAACTTTAGTAATATCCTCGCCATTTGAAATTAAATTGTCAAAAATAAATTTCCCAACGATTTTAATTCGACCTTCTCTTTCAGAAATACCCCTGTTGGCAACCTCACAAAAACGACCTTCCGAGTTTGAAGTGGAGGTTTCCCCGTCCATACGGGACCGTTGTTTCACCAAGGGATCAGCCCCTCTGTTTCCCACCGACAATGCAGACCATGGAGTTGCGCTGCCATCTTCTGCATACCGTTTTCGCTTTGTTCGCGCGAACCGTGTCATAACAATACTCTTAAAAACAATGACAGCAATTTTCAAAAAACTGATCTCAAACCATCGTTGTTTTCGCCAAACCTATCAAGGAGTGAGCAAGTATCCGAAGAACGAGTAAGGATCGAAACTGAGATAATTTTAGGGTACAAAAGTGTGTTCAAGCACTGAATAGAGAAAAACACCATATGGAAGAGAGTGTTAATTAGCTTTAACTGTCGCGAAAATCTTTCCTTTTTATTATTCCAGAGATTCCTCTCTCTCTGAATTGAGGACCTACAAAAATGCCCAGCATTATGCCTACTCCGAGGAGCTTCTGCATTTCATTAAGGTAATCTGTTACAGTACCAAATGGCAGATATAAAAATAAACTAGTACAAAGAGATGTATTTCATCCCTTACCTAAGAGTTGCATGCTGCCTATCTAGAACCTTTGGTGAAACGAAAAAAAATGAAGTTTTTTTGACAAAACTGCACAGAGTGTATTTGGCAGCGCTATCATAATGAAAGCGTAGGAGAAGAAACACTTTAACGTGATTTCAATTTCAAACTACTTCTACGATTCGCTATAACGGAAAGTGCTGCGTTTGACCAAATTTCAACATATCGCTAATCCTACCTACTAACGGTCAAGGCAGAATAAAACTCGGAAAGTTTATGCCTTTTACCGGGAAACCGTTTTCTTAAGAACAAGCAAGAACATTTTTCTGAATATATAAGGATATATGTGGGCTACCAAGGCCCCCTGCGTGAGATCTACACTAGACCGATTGTAGGAGCTTTACCACAAATTCGTTTTGAATCCCCGAAATGCCAATGAGAGCGTTTGAGACGAAGAAAAATGACAAATTCTACAAGTTCTGTAAGACTGCTTGTGAAAAGAACAAGAAAAGAACGGTTGAATTTGAGCAGCCAGATACACAGGAACTTGAAAAAGAGCGAGAGTTTATTAAAATAAGATTTAAAACAGCAAAAAAAAATCAGCTTACCGCGCATCAGTTATGATAATTTCTATCCAGTGACATGAACTGGTAACAGTGGTTGGTAACAGTTCAATTTCAGTGAAAACATATTTTAAAAAAAGAGACAAGCATTGATATTATTGGTAACAAAACTATCCAATTCAGTAATCATTTGTTCGGTGCCTGCTTGCTGGGATCGAAGAAAATAAAAACTTGCCACCATCTTCCTTCCGTTTATTTCCCCTCGCCTAAAAGCTTTTAAGTGCTTCTTTTTGCGACGGAATACCTCTAGAGCGTTGTTCGATAGAGTAGTAGGTAACGTAAAAGCAAAATTGGTAAAAGCAAAAATTAAAGCTTTTGAAAAAAGATCTCGTTAAGGAAACGGTTACACAGATAAAACCGTAATGCAATATGATCAACTTACGGGAAGAGAGTGAACGTAATACCAACGAAAAATAAATTATCAAATTCTACTTAACTACTGATGACGAAGAATTCAATAGTCTTGAGTGGAACAAATGTCATGCCCTAAATATACATATATAGCAAAAGAAAATGCAACTTTTTGACTATCTAAAAGAATGCAAGGTAATAAGTCAGAGGCAACTTGAGAATAACAATATAAGCGAAAATCATGTTCAGTCTTAAAGAAACCCATAAATCGACAATCCCAAATAGTAGTTTCAGCTGAAGACGCTACCCACCCCTTAATGACACTAGTTCCTGCCGACGGTGCAATTTTTATGTTACCTTACGGGTACCTCAACACCTGGAAATAGAGAGATCAAAAACACGAAAAAACTTCAGAACTCATCTAAGTCTCACGCAGAAGAAACCTGGATGGCTCACTAAAAGTCTTATACCCCCCTCCCCCCCCAAGTAAAAAAAAGGCTTTGTTTATTATTAGAAACAGAAAGATAAATAAGAAAACGTGTAAAATTTTATAAATCCAAAAAAAAGGAACAGAAATCAACCTTTTCCGAAAAAAATTAATACCTTTCAAAATTGCCTTTCTTTTACAAGTGAATTGTAAACTTACGAATGTTGGAATTGATCCAACTTAAGCACTTTCCGCTACAGCGATTCGTGGAATTAACATGGAGATGGGAATCTCTGTTACTCAAAGATGCTTACTCTCCAGCGGTTCTATTGCGATAGCTTTGCTAGATACGTTTTATGCGGTTTTTTAATGGAACGCTGAGTATCAAAAAAAGATCTCTTTAGTTTTTGCTTGCTGTAATTGCTTTCAGAGTCTACTGGGAAGAACGACTTTAAGGGTTTGTTGAGGCTCTTCTCGTACGCACTTTTATAAGCTTCGATGACATGCTCATTGAAACAGTTTTACTGTTCAGGAAAAACGATTTTATTAATACTTTAAATTCATTTATCGACTTCTCTGACCTTGTAGCTTTTTAGTTAGATTTGGAAGAGTGTGGCAACAGTTAGTTCCATTTATTTAAGTGGTAGCTACGCCTTTGAAGTTCTTAACCGTTTTAATGCGCAACCACTAGCTGTTATTGCTATTTCCATTTGTTTTTCTATCTGGAAGTAGTGTTGGGTATAAACAGATGTTTTATCAAATGAACGCTGTAACATACTGAACGGATCTGATGACTTCCTCTGAGTTATTCGCGTTTCAGGCGAGGCATGCTAGAGGAAAAAAATGAGAAACCGTTGACCGCGACATACAGCTACCCTAAACCTCCTTGGCTGGGCACGTTCAGTCGTCGACGACGTGAATAGTAAATTTTTGGTTTTATCATTTACAAAGCTAAATTAATCACGGTTTTTTTTTTCCTGTTTCACTCTCATGGAATTGTCATTATTGACTTATGATTATGTCCTTCATTCGATGGTAGTGCAGCTAAACTGTCCATGTTTAGAGATAGGAACTTTTATAACTACAACTCACTTTCACTTTTGTAACTTTCTCGGCTTGTCGGTGGCAGTATTAGATTGGTCTGTGTGTTTTTTTCCAATCTTTTAAGGACATAGTATTAAAGTGCCGTTATAACTCTTATGCCATTTCATAAAATTTCCTTCCCGGTGTTGTGTGGCGTGATAGGTAACAGATGCACCGTACTCTTGAAGTTTGAAAGATTCTAATTCATTTCTCGCGGTTTCTCATAGTCATTCTGTGATCAGGTGAGCAACATTAGCGTAACCATAGCTGCTTGGTGTGGGCGTGGAACTTATCGATTTACTACATGAGGTAACCGTGTGAATTTTGAGGAGGAGCTTCCTCAAAACGTTTATGGGTATGTAAGTATTCATTAGTAAGGTAATTCTTCACACCTTTACTCAGTAGTTATAAAACTACTTTAAATACATTCTTCAAAATTAGTTCTGATTGCACTGCATTATAAAGATAATCGGAAAAACATTGCCACAGGAGCAAAAATAAGTGTAGGAGAGCTGGAAATGAATAGCCGAAAGGATGTGCAATTAAACCAAGCTTAAGGCCAAGCTGTATAGCTAGGAAAGTGAGATACTGCTTAATGCGCATCTTGGGAAAGAATATTCTGTAAAATGGTATGAGAATTGGAGCTACACTTTAGCACTAGTTCCTTAAAAAGTCTGAAAGAGGTACATAAACTAATGAAGTTACTAAGGATGAATAAAGTTAAGAAATTCACATACGAAAACAAAAGCAAATTGTCAGTAAAAAATCTTTCTAAAGATATTTCCAGTTTGCTGTGTTAGATTTCCTCATTCTTTTGTGAACTTATTTGTCTTTCCTTCTTTACTCAAACAGTCGCTTCATTCGTAAAGTGCTTTGAACTGCAGCCAGTTTCTTACATTAAACATTTCGTGGGAGAACGAATTTATTCGTAACTTCCAGATATTATAATAGTTACATCATTTATAAAGCAGAAACGCTTTCTATTTGTTTTTCCAGTAATGGGCGGAAGGCGTGGTGGAGTGAGTTGGGTCATACAGACGAAGTGGTAGAAGCAAACAGATGGAGACCGTTCCCTGCTACGGTTCGAGAAGATGATGTTAACTGGTTCGTTTTACAGTTAATGCTACTGTTATTAATATGTTAGCAAATATTTTTATTTTTTTTCCTTGGTTGTATTTCGTGGTTTTTGATGTACAAATGGTGGATACGACATTTGAAAGACCTAGTTATTAACCCTGCGAATTTTGAAGTGAAATAGGCTTTTTTGTTTTATGAAGACGAAAGTTGTATGCGATTTTCCTTATAAGGTAGCCTGAAAGATGTTGCTAGGATCAGAATTATACAGTAGGAAAATAATGTTTATTTTGCCAGGTATGACGAGAAGGTTAAAGATGGTACTTCACTTGTTGGGCCGTTTGGTTTGGATTCAACCAAATATCCTAATTATACGTTAAAAGGTGATACGCCTGTTCCCTTAAGGGAATTCCAGGATCATGTAAGTTGAATTGCTTGCATGGCTGTTACTTTTTTCTTTTGTCTGTATTCTGTCAGCCTTTTGGATTCTGAATTCAAACACTGTCCAGAAGACCATTCATTTGAAGCTTTCTTGGTTTCATGTGTTTCATCCATCTTCTAACTACTTTAGCTTACTAGGTTTTCAAAAGCAGCCGACAGTACAAACAGATAGCAGAAAAGTGGGAACTTAGTAAAGAACATCCTGGTTTTGCTGTATCTCCAAATTTGAGCTCCTTGGAACCGACGCGGAAGGTGGCTGAAGTTATTTTGATGTGTATCTGCCGCAGAAGTTTAGTTGTTTTCTATTAAATTTACGTGCTTATTTTGCTACAAGTTTTACTTTTCTAGGACTGGTTGGGTCGGAAAGGGTTTCTTTTCAATTCGTGGTTTCATCTTGGTCCTAGATTCTTCGAAAAACCGTTGAATGAAGGGACATTCGAAAAGGGACTTGCATCTGCTAAATATGCGGCAATAGCTAGTAACCTCGCTTTTTCTATCCATCAGTTTGCTATTTTGATTAACCTTTTAGAAAGCGCTATTGGTTCTAGGAACGAGACTGTTGTAATCAAAGGAAGTATTATTAGCTTGGTAAATTTTACTCAAAATCATTTATTTTTTTCAGTGCTTCCGTACACATTGTTTGAAATCAAAGCGTTTGGAAGTGTAACTGTAGATGACTTTGCTCCAAAGACCTTCTTAAAACGTTACTTCCAATTGGCTCCCGTACCAGGTCGAGCTCTTCTCTTTCTTCCTTTGCACTTTTGTTTATAAATTCAAATATTTTATGAAAAAATATTTATGCCATATTTATAAGCTGTTTGTCGCGGAAGTTGTTGTTATGGTTTGCTTAAAGTTTATTTTAATAACAGTTACTCTCCAAAGTGAAATGTGCGTCATGGCGTCCCTGTTCTATTTTCTTAGCAGTGCTTCTTCAGTCAGTATCTTTGCACTTGGTTTCTTATTCATTTACATGAGATTTCTGTCTTTTGATATTTTTTCTGCTATAAAAAAGTACTTGGAGTGATTTATGTAGCTTAATTTTTTATTTTCAGCATTTTTTCATCTTATTTAATCTTCTAGTCTACACTTGTACTGACCTATGTAAGTGTACAAGTTTGGTCTGAAGTCTTTTCAAATACAAAATGAGCAAGATATACCTTATGATTATTGTTTATTTTGAAAGCTTTGAGATATGGGGTCTGTTTCAGAGCGCTCGTTTTGGGAGTCAGTTTCACACCTCTTTTGTGTTTTAGGTTGTTTTTTCTGCTGGCTGTTAGGATTACTCAGCTGAGCTTGAGAAATTAATGCTCGCTGTGTTGCTGTTCTCAAGTTGCTTAGCCCTGAAAATCAGTTGTTCAAAAATGTAACTGTTTTTTTTTAGTGTCTATATGCTTTACTTGGGGAATAGCTCTCAGTTTAGCCGCTAACATTCGTCATAAAGACGACCTTACAAACCACTTATATGCATCTGTTGCTGCAGGCACGTTACTTGGTTTCATGCGTAAGTTTTTTTTATTTCTAATTCAAAATTTGTTACTTTTTAGGGACACTTTGTACCATATTTGTGATGAATAATACTGACATTTATTGGGCTGCTGATAAGGTTTTTGACATTGAAGATTGTTGGTTTTGTTAATAGGACCAAATTAATTTTTATACCTTCTCTTAGCTAAAATTAACACAAACAAATTTAATTTTCTGATGGGTAATTCTGTAATGATATTTTAACTTCTTCAGTTGCCACTGGCGAGTCTTTTTGTGTTAAAATGATGAAGCAGTTGGTAGGAAACAGTGTGTTGATGTTATTTGTTGACTATCGAATAAGTGGTGCAGCCAATTGTAGCTGAAAATAAGCTGTAATTTATGGAATTTTGAAACGGAATGGAAACTTACGTTACTTTAGTTGGAAATAGTGAATTATTTCATGTCTTTAGAAAGAAATATTGCACGTGGTGTAGTGCTGACAATGATGTCCCTTGTGTTTGGAACACTTCTACATTACAACAGAGTTCACGAATTTGGTTTGCAAGGACCTTTGATTAATCAAAATATCAGTGGCGAATGGGGAGGTCCATTATCTTGGAAGTTTATGCAACAAGGCGACGTTAAAGTGCCTACTGTTAAATACTGATTTATTGCAAATACCATAGAAAAAGTGACAAATAAATTGTTAGACCAGGGTTTACGCCTAATTCTCTTTGTTTAAAGAACATTAGGTTTAGTTACTGGGATTTGTTTGTTTAACTGTAAAATCGATTTCTGCTTCTTGATAAATATGCACGGACAAGGTCGTAAGCTAGTAGTTGAAGGTTCGTTTTGTGTATTTGACGTTTCTAGTTTAATAAACTTCGATCTTTCAAGCTATCTGACATTTGATAAAAAGTTGGACCGGTGTCTACAAACTGTATATAAGTAAACTCATTGTAAGTGTAGGCATGAATCGTGCGATCATTCCGAGGCAATGTTCGCTTTCTTCACGTTCGCATTTGCATTGGCAGTGCTGGTGAGTTCTTTAAACGATCTTGCACTGAGTTTTTGGAGGTGCGTTATAGGTGTGCTTTGAGGAAGATAATGGGGCGGCTAAGTGGATGGAAGTACAAGATTTTAAATAGTTTTGAAGCGTAATATGCTTTTGGAGTCAAGAAGTATGTTCTTAATGCAGGGTTCTGTGAAATTGTTTTTGGCTTGTCTCAACGTGGTTAACAGAGGTGTTTTTTGCGGAGCAGTCTATACTTGGGAGATTGTTTGTACTTTATTACAGGTTAATAGTGTTTTCGGAATGTGATGCAGGCTGAGCTGGTTCACTAAGGTCGTTTCTGGGGAGGGCTTTGTGTTTTTTTTTTTTTTTTTTTTGGGGGGGGGGGGGGGGGG